CCCCCCAGTCCAACCCTTCCCTCCACCGTTGGGGAAAGGCAGCAAAGCCTCTCCTTCCAATTGTCTTTTCCAATCAATTTTGCATGGAAACACGTTACCCCAGCACAGAGTTTCCTGCTGCCAGGCTGGGAGTGTGATAAATGTTTCATGCAAACAACAGCCCCCCGTGGGTGTCAGAGCACAGCGCTCCCACGGCCCCGCTTTGATCCCGGCACACACCGAAGGAGTTCTGAGCACTCCCCACTCCAGAACCTGTATGCAAACGAGGGAAAATTACCATAAATGCCTTCCCACTGCTCAGTGTGGGAAGAGGGAAAGCAAAAATATTAACGTGCCTGCTGTCAGCTCGGAAAAGTCCAATATTCCCAATTTACTCCCGAGGTCTCGCGCCAAGCGACGAAAATCTCATCAACAGGCACTGGCCACCCATGTCCCATCCATGGAACCTTCCTGGGCACTGAGCACAGGAATCAAACTCCAAGGGCTTTGGGGAAGTGCCACTGGGAAAAGGGGCCTACACGGAGGGACCTCAGCACAAGTTTAAAGACTTAATTATGGAATTAAAGGGAGAAATTAGGATTATATTTTAACGACAAACTTTTCAGCGCTGTAACATTGACAGAAAAAGAGGGAATGGCTTCATATGGCAAAGAACATGGTTAGATGGGATACTGGGAAGGAATTCCTGGCTGGGAGGGTGGGGAGGCCCTGGCACAGGTTGCCCAGAGAAGCTGTGGCTGCCCCTGGATCCCTGGAAGTGTCCAAGGCCAGGTTGGACGGGGCTTGGAGCCACCTGGGCTGGTGGAAATTGTCCCTGCCCATGGCAAGATAACCTTTAAATTCCCTTCCAAGCCAAATCCTTCTGGGATCCTGTGATCTGTCCAAGGATTTCAGAAGCTGTGAACCAGTTAATGCCCAAATGTATCAATGACCTCACCAAGCATCAGAAATTAAACTGGTCGGGTTTGATTAATGGGTCACCACTTCTTTTCTCATAACAGCTGAGAAGCTGCTCTTAATTTATTCCATTAAAAATTGTCAAAATCACTTGAACCAGTAATCCAAAATTCCGCTACTGCAGAAGCAACAATGAAACCCATAAATCCAGCAAAATTATGTAAAGCCAGCAAGCTTTTAGTAGCTTTTCCTCCCAATCCAACAGTGAACAAGGAGCCTTATGAAAAGTGTCTCACAATGCCAGAACTTGTTTTTTTTTTTTTTTTAGCTAATCAAGACTTTAAACATCAAAATTCAGTGGCTCACACAAACAGCACATTCAGCTTTACCAACCAATAAACAAGTTTTTAGTGGGTTTTTTAAGTCAAAAGCTCATAAGTACATAAGTCCAGGAAGATTATGACTAATTTTCCCATAATCAATCAAAACCCCATAGCAGAAGTCTAACATGAGAATTACTACTCCCTTCTGGATAAGGGAAATTCATCCCAACCTGTCCCATTCCTTGGATGCAGAGACAAAGCTCTTCCCCTTTCATTCAGTGACCTTTTCTAATCAATGCCACCCATGTTTTTGCTTCAGCCCAGAGTTCATCCTCTTGCAAAAGATTCATTTTGCAGGGGAAGAAGAAACAAAACCAAGAGAAGAAAAACAGAGACTGGGACAGCCAAACGTAGGGACAGAACAACCATTCTGGCAGAACGAAGAACAGTAAAGTTTTGGGTCCTTCAAACAAAAATTTAATAAAAAAAAAACTTACTGGTAAAAACCAGACACCAGATGTCAATCATGCATCAGAAAGTTTTGCAGAGACAATGATAATTCATCACAGAATGTGTATTGGTCCTTATTTTATCAACTCCACTTATAACACTTCATAATATATCAGTAAATGCAAAGAGCTCTGTGCCAGGGGCAGAGCAGGAGCACCAGCACAAAATCTGGTGTGTGACAGTGGTGCAAAGCAATGACAGGCACAGCATCCTCCTGCAGCCACAGGGCACCACCAGGGACCAATATTGATATCACAGACACAGAAATGGGATTGGAAGCCTGGCTGGGGGACTGGGAGAACAGGAAAGGCTGAGAGGCCAAGACGTGCTTTCGCTCTGGACACGCTGCCAGCAGTTGTTGAGAAAGAGCCACATCACATATTGATTCTTTTTTACAGCCTTCCAGGTAATAAAGCTCTCTCTGCCATGCATTGAGATAACAGAACACACACAGAAAGGGGGAACACGGGTTGGACATCCAGGATGAGAGGAAACCAAAGCAAACTGGTCAGTTGGGATGACTTGCAAAATGGAAGGGGAAAAAAAAAAGCAGCACTGCAGGAGCTGACTGTGAACTAGGTAAGAACATTTCTTGCTGCCTGCCTGTCAGCAGCTTTACTGTGCTGTGGAAATGAAACAATCCTGATCATCTGAAAGGTGGATCAATTCTGTGTTCAGGAATATTTCCCAGGCTGTGCTGCTTTACCTTTCAAGTGAGCACAAAACTCTCTCAAAGCTTGACAGGCTGCTCTTCACACCAGGTTTGGTCCCCAGGTACCATCAGGTGCTGTCCATGAGCTTCCCAGCCATCCCCCTCCATCAGGGCTGCACAAACAGCACATCCCTTAAACCACTTCAGACTGGCAGAAGAGAGGAGCAACACAGTCCATCTCCACAGAACTGCTAAAACACCTCCAACAGACCACAAGTTCAGTGCTTGTGGTTAAAGAATCAACACTGAAATGGAGAATGCCAAAGGACAAGGACCAGAACACTTTTTTCTCAGTAATTTTCCTTTTTTACTCTTCAAATCCCTCTTGAGATGTTTCCTGTGAAGACAAGATCTACCTTGAGAGAATCTAAAGTCACCCCAAATTAAAAACCAAACACAAGCCAAGCACAGAAAAGACAATCATTGGTTTATATGAGCCACAAACAAATAAAACCATTTTCTCCTCAATTAAAAACCTGCAGTTTGATTCTCCACTTCAGAGGAACAGTAAAGTCCCAAATATACAACAACTCTCAGATAACCTGCAGTGCTGCCAAACTGAAATACCTTCTTTTATGCAAAGTTAAACTATAAAGTCAAGCAGCACCTGAGAATTTATGTTCCATCTTCTCACAATCTGGCTCTGGGATGATCTTCATTATAGCTTTAAAGTGGCTATTTTGAATAAATACATTCCAAACAGCTATAAATTTAAACTGAAAACTAGACCTGGTCCTTGATGTGCCTTTGAGGAAGGATCTACTCCAAACACAGAGGTCAGAGGATTGTTTCCTCTACAGATTCCTGATGTTGGAGGTTCTGGAGAGGCTCTGGAGAGTGATGATACTTTCAGTGGTGATTTAGACACTGGATCTAGAAATTCATTCATGTGGACAGTCATCTCCAGCTGATTCCTCTCAGTATTTCACATCCAAACCTGCACTTGACAGGGATTTTGTGTCTTTAGACTTAGTTCCTCATACTTCAGAGCAGAAAAGAAATGGGAATAACAATTTGGAAAAGCAGCACCATCACTGGGTTGGTTACAGCAGAATAGGCCAGGAGGAAAAATAAAATATTTGGGTTTTTTCCTGTTTAAACTGGATCCAACATAACCATGGAATCTCCCTGCTGCTGCAGGGGACAGAGGGAAAGTTCCAGAAGACAACAGACTTACACAGGCAAGAAATTCCCTCAGTTTGTGTTCCCCCATCCTCCTCCCTCTGCATCCATAATTCAAGGACAGGTGAGTTTACCTGGCCAAGGGGATCTTTTCTTTTCCATGCTTTTCACCCAAAAAGAAAATAGATACATAAATAAATGATGCAGGGGAAGAACAAGCAGAGCTTGAGAGGCCTGAGGAAGCCTCTGACAAAAACACAACTGGAAAACATCTTACCTGGCCTCATTTTCCTGGAGCACAAACAAGGCAAAGAGAAACTCTCTTTGTTCCTACAGTTGATTCTCTCTCTCTGTGGTCAATAACAGAATATTCCACAGACAAATTTCAAATAACAACCCCATCAAAGGGATTTGTCTCCTCTGCATTCAAACAAAAAAAGCCTTTCCCAAACACTAAAGTGGTGCTGATAAAGCCTCAATCTTCCAAATCACAAATAACAAATAAAGGGGGCAAAGCTGCTCAGATCCATATTCTCGGCACAGACACACTTTGATCAGCACTTGATTAAATTGGAAAACGTGTTGTGCCCCCTCAGAAAAGTTTATGAAGCACAGATGATATCAGCACCAGCCAGGTATGGTTCACTCTGCAGTCTGAGCGTGCTCCAAGGCAGAAATCCTTGTCCAAAGTCAGCCCCTGAGCTCAGAGGGAAAGGATTGAGGGCACAAAGTGTTTCTATATCAATTTGTACCCTTTGTCCCAACTCCCCTGGGAATGACCCAAAATTGGTTTTCAAATTTAGCATGAGCAATTTTGTAAGTTATCAAAATACAGAGATTAATTGCTTGCCTAAAAAAATATTGTCTGGGCATTGTGTTCCTCCTACAGCTCCTTCCTATTGATCCCTGTTGTAAAAGGACCTGGAGCCCAGCAGGATCCTCCAGGACCACTGCTCAGTGGGATCCAAATCCAATGGGATTTGAGATAAGCTTCTACACAGAGCCCAGAAAACCTCTCACACACCAAATCCCAGACTGGTTTGGGTTGGAAGGACCTTAAAGATCATCCAGTGCCACTCCCCTGCCACGGGCAGGGACACTTTCCACCAGCCCAGGTTGCTCCAAGCCCCGTCCAACCTGGCCTTGGACACTTCCAGGGATGGAGCAGCCACAGCTTCTCTGGGCAACCTGTGCCAGGGCCTCCCCACCCTCACAGAGTGGGGAAAGAATTGCAAATTAAACCATCCTTTAGTGGGAAATATCGTCCCATTCCATAATTTTAAAATCCAAAGAATCCCACCGTTCAAACATTTTGAAGAATTTCCACTCAGTCTATTAAAAAAATCACGCAAGGGAAAATTACTCCAGGGGTGTAAAACGCCACCGAACCGGTGCCTGGTTTTTGTTCCCATTCCATCACTTGTCACTTCACTTACCCGGCCTTGGTGCCATAAATCTCCTTGTCCTTCCCTTTGCCCTTGTCCTTGGCCTTGTCCTTGTCCCTGCCCTTGCGCCGCTCCCTCTCCCGGGAGCCGCTGTGGGTCCTCCTGTGGCCGGACCTCTCGCTGCTCCGGCTGTAGGATCGCTGCCGACCTCGGGACCTGGACCTGCAGCAAAGCCACGGGGTCAGAGCTCAGCCAGCACCCCCTGCCACTGTCACTGCACGTGAGAGCTGTTATCTGACCCAACCACGTCATACATTTCATGATTTAATGATAATATACTGCATTTAATAAATATAACACATTGATAATGTAATATATTCAGTCATTTAATACCTTGAAACTGTCCATTTATCTAAAGTGGGAAAGAAAGCATTGCTTCTACTTTGAAGGAAGAATATAAAATATAATATATATATCATATATAGAAATATATAAAATAACTTAAACCATAGTACGTAGGATTTATCCATCAACAAATTAATCTTGGGGAAGAGAGGGAAAAGGGAAAAGGGAAAAGGGAAAA